CTACATGACCACCACATATGATAATAACTTCCCACTTGTGCTTCATATTTCCAACACACATTTGATACATCTGTATACATCTTCGACAGTTTTTCTGGAGTCATACGCCACCTATAAAACATTTTGTATATATTCTCCTTAAAATTAGCAGATCTTGTAAGCTTTATATTATTTTGCCATATTTTCAACCATTGATCAATATCAATATTATGCCCTATGTTTTGTGCCACTTAATCATACATTCTTTAATCATTTCATCTTGCATTTTAATTTCTAAAAGATAGTTATACATTTTCTTAACTATTTTATCTTTTGAACTTAATAAAAGCTTATCAAATATCATTTGTTCTGAATAAAAACCTTCTATTTTGTCTTTTATATATCTAGATTCCAGCTGTGCTCTGGACCACCAGTCTATGTAAATATTCTGTGTCTCTAGATCTTAATTCACCATCCTTTTTAATAAGTCTTCATATTTCAAAAGTTTTGCTTTCATCATAAGATTAGGTTATGCAAAGACCTCTATAGGTGATGCCTATACAGGTGTTTTGTGATAAATTTGTTGTATAATCTTTTTCCACGTTGCCAATAAAGCTCTTCTTATCATATGTAAATTAAAATGCTTTTGATCTTTATCCTTTTTATACCATAAATAAGCATGCCAGCCTAGCTGTAAATCATGTCCTTCTAAGTTGAGTAATCTATTATTTTCCAAAGTTCTCCATTCTTTTATCAAATCTAAAATACCAGATCGATAATACAGAGCCCAATCTGGAAGACCAAAACCAGCCCTCTGTTTGGCATCTTGCATTGCTTTAATTTTAATTCTTGGTTTTTTATCTTGCCATACAAATCTCATGATTATCTTATTAGGTTCTTGGGAAAAGGTCTGTTTTAATGTGATAGGGATTGTCTGAAATAATAAAATTTTTGGCAAGACACTCATTATAATTGTCGCAGTTCTTCCCAACAACGATAATTGTAGTTTATCCCATTTCTCCAAATTGTTCTGTATCTCCTTAATCAATTTCATATAATTATCTTTAAATAATGTATTTGACTAATTGTTCCCAATTTTGAACCAATCAGTTGTTTCATATCCAGTTCTACCTGTTGCATCCTGTCCCACATATAGATTTCTCAGGAGATGGATAAGGTGGTCAGGCACTCCCATTTCTTGAAGAACTTGCCATAATTTACTGTGGTCCATACAGGCTTTTGTGTAGTGAATGAAGCAGAAATAGATGTTTTTCTGGAACTCTCTGGCTTTCTCCATAATCCAGCACATGTTAGCAGTTTGGTTTCTAGCTCCTCTGCCCCTTCAAAATCCAGCTTGTACTTCTGGAGGTTCTCGGTCCACATACTGCAGAAGTCTACCTTGTAAGATTTTGATTTAATAGTTAAGATTTAATAGTTCAAAGGGAATGCCATCACCTCCACTAGCCTTGTTGTTTGCCATGCTTTCTAAGGCCCACTGTACTTTGCTGTCCAGGATGTCTGGCTTGAGGTCAGCAACCACACTATATGGGGTGTCTGGGACATCCACACCTTTCTGGTATAATTCTGCGATGTATTCTTGCCACTTCTTCTTGATGACTTCTGCTTCTTTTATATCCCTACCATTTTTGTCCTTTATCATGTCCATCTTTGCACAAAATGCTTCTTTAATATCTCCAATTTTCTTGAACATATCTCTGGTTTCCCCGTTTCTATTATTTTCCTCTATATCTTTGCATTCTTCATTCAAGAGGGCGCCCTTGTCTCTCCTTGCTTTTCTTTGGGAGGCCGCAGTCAGTTTTCTGTTACTTTCCCTATCTCCCTTGCATTTTGTTTCCTTTCTCTTCTCTGCTATTTGTAAGGCCTTGTTGGACAGCCACTTTGCTTTCTTGCATTTCCTTTTTTGGATGGTTTTTGATGCTGTACAATGTTATGAGCCTCCAGCCATAGTTCTTCAGGCACATTGTTCACCAAGTCTTATTCCTTAAATCTGTTCTTCAGTTCCACTGTGTATTCGAAAGGGATTTGGTTTAAACCAGTGGTTTTTTCTACTTTCTTCAGTTTAAGCTTGAATTTTGCTATAAGAAGCTGATGATCAGAGCTACAATCAGCTCCAGGTCTTGGTTTTGTTGACTTTATAGAGTTTCTCCATCTTTGGCTGCAGAGAATATAATCAATCTGATTTCAGCATTGCCCATCTGATGATTTCCATGTATACAGTCGACTCTTGTGATGTTGGAAAAGAGTGTTTGTGATGACCAGCTTGTCTCTTGACAAAACTCTATTAGTCTTTGCCCTGCTTTGTTTTGAACTCCAAGGCAAAACTTGCCTGTTGTTCCTTTTATCTCTTGACTCCCTACTTTAGCATTCCAGTCCCCTATAATTAGAAGAACATCTTACTTTGGTGTCAGTTATAGAAGGTCTTTTAGGTCTTCATAGAATTGGTCAATTTCAGCCTCTCCAGCATTGGTGGTCGGTGCATAAACTTGGATGACTGATGTTGAAAGGTCTGCCTTGGATTCGTATTGAAATCATTCTATCATTTTTGAGATTGTATCCCAGTACAGCTTTCCGCACTCTTTTGTTGACTATGAGGGCTAGTCCATTTCTTCTACGGGATTCTTGCCCACAATAGTAGATATGGCAATCGTCTGAATTGAATTCGCCCATTCCCGTCCATTTTAGTTCACTGACGCCCAGGATGTCAATGTTTATTCTTGCCATCTCCTGTTTGACCATATCCAACTTACCAAGGTTCATAGATCCAGGTTCCTATGCAGTAATCTGTCCGTCTTGGGTGTCCCTGAATGGCATAGTCCATAGCTTCTCTGAATTACTCAAACCCCTTCATCACGACAAGACAGCAATCTGTGAAGGAGCAATCCATGAAGGGTTTGTTAAGAAGGTAGAAACCGAGATCACAAATGATTGTGATCTACTGTTTTCTCAGCACAGAAAGGGAGGCAGCAGGAAATAGGCTTATCCATAGAGAGTTTCCCTGTTAAATGGCAAAAGCCTCTAATCACCATGAATTCTCTCCTTCTTCCAGCAGATGATGGACAGGAGGAGGAAGGAAGACTCCACAGGACATCCCCAGAAAGAGTGGAAGATGGTAATGAGAACTCTGGGAACAGAGATGAATCACAGAGGGACAATGAATCAAATCATAGGAAAAATAAACCTCACCCTTATCTGAGAGGGGTTGTCTGTGTAGAAGAAGAGGAAAAGACCATTAACATCAATGTCCTTCAGAGCTCAGAGTTCGGGCTAAGGGGCCCTCTGAGGAAAAGCCCAGTGAAATGTCCAACATGCCACTCAGAGGAAA